AAGCACCCTTCTTTCTCCGTGCTGGCTGTTGTCGCCCTGTTGATGATGTCAGCAACGCGGTTTAATCGGGCGTGGTTTAGTCGAGCGCGGTTTTGACGGGTCACGCCTGGATAGAGCTTCTTTTGCAGATCACACAATTCCCTCTGCCTGACCATGGATTGGATGGAATGGGGTGACCAGGGCATGTCTGATTCCCTGCTCTGCTAAATAGGTCACAAATTGGATGGCTGAAAATTGGGGTCCATTGTCTGAGACCAGAACATCGGGCAAGCCGTGTGTGGAGAAAAGTCTTCGTAGCACCTTGATGACTGCCTCTGCCGTGGTAGTGGTCATTAAGACTACCTCTAACCACTTTGAATAGGCATCCACAACCACAAGGAAAGTTTGCCGGTGCACGGCCCTGCAAAGTCAATGTGCACCCTTTCCCATTTGTGTGCGGGTGCCTCTGGGGAAGCTGGTCGAGATTCCTGGTATGGTGTGCAGGTTGCTACCCACTCTGCGATCTCCCCATCCATGTTAGGCCACCACACATAACTCCTTGCCAAAGTTTTCATCGGGACAATCCCCGGATGCCCTACATGCAAGGCCTCTAAACTGCAATTCGCAGTTTGGGTGGAACAATTACCCGGTCCCCCCACTTGGGCCTCAATATAGTAAATGCTGTATAATGGGCACCGGGTAAGCACTCTGTTGGAGATCCTTATTTAGGGTGCAGAAAGACCCATCAGGTTTGACAGAGGTCACAATAGGGGTTTCCCAACGTGCATGGTCGACCGGCTCCAGAATCCCCTGGCCAATTAGTTTGTCCAATTCTTGGTTAATTTTAGGTCAGAGGGCAAAAGGCACCCTCCAGGGCTTTAACCAAATGGGGGCGATGTTGGGGTCAAGGTTAAATGCTATAGGAGTCCCCACATACTTGCCAAGGTATGTGAAGATGTCCTCGAACTCCCGCAGTTCTTCACTGCTGTCATCTTGGATAGCATTGATGCCAGTTACCCCCATGCCCAGGGATTCGAACCAGTCCAAGCTGAGCTGGTGAGGAAGGGAGCTACTGACTACTGTCAATGGGAGTAGTTCATCAAAGTTCTTGAATTGGATACGGAATGTGCCCCTACCGAGGACGGTAATGCGATTCCCCTGATAGTTGCTGAGCCCCAATTCTTGGTGCTTCAGCTTGTGTTTCTTTATACTTGAGATGGCCTTTTTGAGAGTGGTTCAGGATACGATGGTCAGGGATGATCCAGTATCGATCTCCATACTGCACAGCGACCCATTGATGTGTATGGTGACTCACAGCTTCTTGTTCCTTGGTGTGCTGGCTTGCCAGATTTTTGTTTGGAACGTGTCGGTGGATTCTGCTCTCTCCTGCTTCCCCCAGGGCTTCCAAAACTCTCATCTGGGTGGTCTTGGTTTTCCTGGCTGGCTGGGAGAGCTTTTTGGTTGTTGAGTGAATGGGAACTCTCATCTGCAGACTCAGGCAAGATGTCTTCTGCGGTCACAACACTGACAGATTGTGTCTCTGAAATGGCAAGCAGATCTCTGATGGGTTTCCCTGCAGCTGGTACAAGGCAGGAAATAACTTTCAAAATCACACGCCATTTTTTTCTTCTCAAATCGTATGTGGCAGACCTCGTCCTCGCTGTCAGACGAGAGTTCTCGGTCAATGTTCTCGTGATGGACTTCTGCAGCTCTATGCGTGCTTTTGGTACTGCTGTGTTTCTGTAGCATCTTGTGGATTCTGTTGAGGATTCTGTAGCTCTTGCTTCATCTAAAGTGATTTGCAGGGTGTGGTTTGTTTTGGCTAATAGCCTCTGCTGCAGGTTAATGTCTCTTACCCCACAAATTATTATGTCAAGCAGCAGTTCATCTAGGTCACGAAATTCACAATATGCTGCAGCTTTACGGAGCATGGCAACATATTGATTGATGCTCTCCCCTTCTCTCTGGTTGCGGAGATTGAATTTGTGCTGCCACACGAATTTTGAAGGCTTCGACTCATTGTGCGTTTTAAGTGTATTTGGTAATGCTGACCAAATCATTACAGCATTGTAATATCTGGACCAGTGTTGGTTTGAAGACCTCTGGCCCACAGTAGCTCAGAAACATAGCTCTTTTCCGGTTGTCCGAGAGCCCAAGAAGTTCGTTGCCTTCCATGAAGTACTCGAACCTCATCATATAGGAATCCCAGTGCTCAGTAGCTGGGTCAAAAGGAGCTGGAGGGGTGTGCGTCATCATTTTGTTCAGTTGAGGCAATTTTGAAATTTCCACTCAAAATGGCCGCTTGATGCCCACGATCGCTGGATTGTCCTGCTGGATTGTATTGTCAGCTCTTTCTGCCCAGTTGTCTTCCGATACCACCTTCGTCGCCAGTGTTAGATTGGGTGAATGGATGAGACAGACTCAGGCTTCAGTGACAAGCAACAGTTCTTTATTAGACAACTATTTACAAATCCAGCACTGGTCCGTTTGACACCTAGCTCTTTTATAGGGAGCTGTCAAACGGCTCGGCCAATCAGCTTGGAGTATTTTCCCACTGGATTGGGATTGGAGGACCTTGGTGGAGCCTACCATTTGATGTCAGTATGTAACAGAGTATGGTTTTGCCCCATAAAACAGTGCTGCATTAGTGATGACCTATTCTGCTCAGCAAATTAGAAATCAGTTTTCTTAAGAATTCTTGGAATAATGGGGAGAGCAATATGCTTTTCTTTATACCTTTTTAATCTTGTGCAAATGAGTTTACCTTAGTTTTAGTGGGACAATTTGGGGAAACAAATGTTGAAGACCACCTACTTAGGCCTGTCAGCAAGAGAGGTCAATATATCCAGATACTTTCGGATCTGTTGTGTTATGGTAATATTAAGAGGTTTCACACTAGGGCCTCATACCGGGACTGTGGTATTCACATCTTGTCTATGATGGTTTATGACTGTAATAAAGATTTGATTTGATCTGATTCACCTTATATGATTGAATCTTGCTTGTGGTCGATCTGGGATGAAGAAACAATACCTGACATTTGCCTAGATTCTAGCATTCTTGAATTAAGAATGAATTAAGAACTGAATATTCTAAGCCTTGGCGTGATTTGATTAGCCTCCCTTTGAGAAAGATGGAGAGTTTAGAAGTATAAAATTTAAATTATTTGACTAGTCAAGTAGAACATGATGTAAGTCTGTCCACTTTAAAAAGGGAATGCCATTTACTTGGTGTCAATGGGAAAAATGAATGCATTTAGATTAAAACACAGAACTAGAAGGTCTTTTTTAAAAAAAAAAAACACAAAACAGAAGGAGCTAAATTAATTAATAGTGGTTATTCTGAATACTTCCCACTTTACTAATAATAGCTTCCTTTTAGGAAAACAATTGTTTGCAGGGTGTTTGTTAAGCTTGGTTTTATGATTATATTGCACATAATTAATTTTGTAATTATATGTTTCTGACTACACCAAAAGGGACTACGTATGTATTCTTATTTAATTATGAATTTACAATAGAGGAGTTATATAGCAACTTAGATATAAAGACAGATTACAATTCTGGCTTGTAGTCTTACATACATTTACTTCAGATCTATAGCTCTTAAATCATTCATGCATTACATGTTAGTCCTTTGAGATAGTCCATGTAAAAAGCACAAGAGAAATGTTAGCTCTATCTTTATTTCAAGTTTGCATTAATAGAATATTTCAAGACTGACTGGGTTTCCTCTCTTCTTTCCTTTTACTTCCTGGAAAAATAGAGAGGTTTCCTCTGAAATGTTTGCCACACCTTCCCTGCCTGATTAGCCTAACTAAATATAATAAAAACAGAAATACGTTCCCTTGTCAATATT